GAGAGAGAGAGAGAGAGAGAGAGAGAGAGAGAGAGAGAGAGAGAGAGAGAGAGAGAGTTGGTGGTAAGTACGTGATTTGCAGAGTTCTTTTCTTGTCTTATTCCTGGAACAGGGTTGCAGGCCACACAATTGCAGGATACGGAGTTAATAAATGTGGGAGCCAGGGCAGCTAGGGTGTTGGAGGTTGGTGAGGTGGAGGCAGTCAAGCCAAGGCAAAGAATGAAAGCTCCATTTAGATATCTCTTCTGCGACATGGATGGTAGTGATATTTTATCCTTGCCTCTGTTCTTGCCTTACGTTTTCTCCTCCATGCATTCATTCAATTCATTGTTCTGTGTCCTCTTCTCCCTTCTCTTCCCGTCTCTTCGCTCCTCTTTCGCCTTTCCTATTCTTTCTAGAATTCTGAGGTTCTCTAAGAAGTATATAAGTGAATTGGTCATGAACTCATGAAAGGGAGGACAAGTAGCCCCTGACCAAAAAAGGTTGGGAAAACATACTTTGTATAAGTTTGTAAATGTCTGTTCTTATTATGGGCCTGCCTCTGGAAGATTTTTGTTATGATTATTAATTTATTATGTTGATGTATGAAGGGCACTGTGGTTAGCGGCATGTATTCAAAATTGAAAGTTCGAATGGCCCAGAAGTACTTTGGAATACTTCGGAACGATGCACAGAAGATTAGCATGGCCGCTGTGAAAGGAGAGAAACACCAATTGAGAAACAGCGTCATTTTCTTTTTTTTTAATTGTAAGTTGAGAGGAGGAAGTACCCTGAAATAATGCGGGAAAAGCGGTAATGAACTGGTGGGTTTGTGCCAATTTGTGAACATTTGTGAACAATAGTAATGGCCATGCATCCCTCCCACACCTGGCCTTGCTGCTTCCATGCTGCGAGGTAGTTATGCCAGTATGTTGTTATGCCATCACCGCTATAACTTTTTATTAAAGTATTCTGATCAGCCGCTGCTACATGCCCTAAAGAAATGCTTCTTCTTCTTCTTCTTCTTCTTCTTTCTTCTTCTTCTTCTTCTTCTTCTTCTTCTTCTTCTTCTTCTTCTTCTTCTTCTCCTCCTTCTCCTCCTCCTCCTCCTCCTCCTTCTTCTTCTTCTTNCTTCTCCTCCTCCTCCTCCTCCTCCTCCTTCTTCTTCTTCTTCTTCTTCTTCTTCTCCTCCTCCTCCTCCTCCTTCTCCTCCTCCTCCTCCTCCTCCTCCTCCTCCTTCTTCTCCTCCTCCTCCTTCTTCTTCTTCTTCCTCCTCCTCCTCTTCTTCATTGTCCTCCTCCTCCTCCTCCTCTTCTTCATTGTTGTTATCATCTTCTTCTTCTCCTTCCTCCTCCTTGTCCTCCTCTTCTTCTTCTCCTTCCCCCTCCTCCTCTTCCGCTTCCGCTTCCTCCTCTTCCTCCTCCTCCTCTCTTCTTGTTCGTCTTCTTCTTCGTCTTCTTCTCCCTCGTCGTCTCCTTCTTCTTCGTGTCTTCTTTGTGTTTCTTCTCCTTCTTCTTCTTCTTCTTCTTCTTCTTCTTCTTCTTCTTCTTCGTCTTCGTCTTCTTCTTCTTCTTCCTCCTCCTCCTTCTTCATCGTTGTTATTAGCGTCTACTTCTTCTTCTTCTTCCTCGTCCATTTCTCGTCCTCCTCGGCTTCCAGTTCTGCTTCCTCTTCCTCCTCTTCTTCTTCTTCTCCTTCCTCCTCGTTCTCGTTCTCTTCCTCTTCCTCTTCCTCTTCCTCTCCTTCTTCCTTCCTTCTTCTTCTTCTTCTTCATTGCCATCATCATTACCACGATGGAAAAGGAGCTCCTTGAAAATAAGAGGAACGGTATGCAATGGGGAGTTGCCCAAGCGGAGGTCGGTGGAAACAATTGGCTTTTCAGCTATAAGAAATACACAGAAAACAAATCACATGTAATGTTGGAAATATACTTGGCAAGTGCACAAGCTGTTATGCAAATGTGGAAGGAGTCATGCTGGGCTGTCCGATTTGGTGCACAGCAGCCTTTTGGGTCTGCTTTGGGTTTGGTTTGGGCCTGCTGTGGGTCTGGTTTGGGTCTGGTTTGGGTCTGGTCCCTCTGCCAACCAGTGTCTATATCCCTGTCACTGATACTGCTGGTGGTGAAAAGCCTGACAGACTTCGAAGGGTTTTGGAAAGAATCTTTGCAAGCGTTTTTGAAAGGTGGCACTCCATTGTGTTTTGTTTGAACCTAGTGTTTCTCCGTCTGGCCCGGTGAAATAAAAAAGGATTCCTAAAGATCTCCTCACTTAAGGGATTTAACAAACAGTTATAATGGGTCCCTAATATCCCTGAGAGTACAAGCTAATTAGTAATTTATTTTCTTGTAGTACTTTTTTCAAATGAATAACTCAAGATGTCTCTTTTATGTGATAATAACACCCACCGGACACACGCCCGGCCGCCCGGGCCCAGCGCAAAAGAAACTGGAAAAAAAGAGAATAAAAGGGCACCCCCTTAATTAAAACCCCATCTATACCCCCTTCCCCCCCCCACCCCACCCGGCCCGATTGGACAAAACTGTAAAACAAAAAGGAGCCCGAATTTGGGCTGCATCCTATGGGCACAGAAAAGCCCCAGCAATGGAAAATTGAAAAAAAGAAATCTCGGAGTTTCTACATCCCTGGGGTACCCGGACGACCTGCACGCGTGTCTGGCTGTAGCCTAGGTTTAAACTTAAAAGGTAAACAAAGTTAAAAAAAAAACAGAGAAAACAAAGACAAAGAAAGGTGGCAGTTGAGTTGTTTGATGGGGATGGGGACATCACAGTCACTGAAATGGAAACTATAGTTAGTACACTACTACACAGGAAAAAAGAAAAATCATCAAAAATGGAATAGTTTCTCTGCCAGTATGGCACAAAATTTTCAGAAATGGTGACATCACAGCCATTGAAATGGACGATACTATAGTTAGTTGTAACTCAGTACACAGATTAGAAAAGAAAATTGAAACGGGCGATACTATAGTCAGTTGACTCAGTTGTATGTCACAGGCTGACAGGCTGACAGCACTACATTTTGCACTGAGGAGTTATTGGTGTCCTTTCCTTTTCTCCCTTCTTCTCGTACTGCCTATGGTTCACCAAGCTCCTTCTTTTTTTCCGAAAACCGGATGAACGAATCTGTCACAGTGCAGAATCTGTCAGGGTCCAGCCCTCCCCCCCCCCCCCCCCCCCCCCCCCCCCCCCCCCCCCCCCCCCCCCCCCCCCCCCTCCCCCTCCCTGCCACTCCTGGCTTTCCCCCTTTCCCCTCCCTGTTTCTTGTCCTGTTCTCCCTTTTGGCCTATGGTTTGGCAGGTAGTTCTCTGTGGCTCAACTAGGTCTTCCATGTGATCACCCACCTCATCTCATCCCTATCATTCATGTCCTCTCTGTTGTTAAAGAGCCTTGTCTATGCTTTCGTCTTCATTCTGGTTTCCTTACTTTTCCCTTTTTCATCCTTTTGCTTTGTCTTCTTTCCATCTTTCTTCTCTTTTCGTCCCCTCTCCCTTTGCCTCTTTTTCACAGCGTGCAAATGGGCCGACATGGCACACAGGGATGTAGGCAGCTGGTGCTTAACTACATCAACGTGGTGAGCCTTTGTACCTGTGAGGCACAATAGTGGGGGAGCTAGAAGAAGAAATAAAAGAGAAACCTTGAAAAAGCCAAAATAAGAGAAAGAAAATTAACGACTGGTCAGGAAAAAGCACGAGAACGGTTTCAGTGTGCTTCATCCTGTCTGCTATCTTCCTTTGTTTGTTTTGCAAAGTAGTGAAGTACGCTCTTTCAATTGATAGATAACGTGTCAATAATACTCAATATATGACTTATGTATCACCAAACAGAACTGCCCAGTAAACTGTAGGCAGAGAGGGAGAAGAGGACAACAAACGAGGGGGCTGTGACAGACCCCGTTTCGTCAGAGTTTCGTCGACTCTTCAGGAGACTGAACCCTCTACAGTCTGTAGAGTCCCCTGACCAATCATACCCAAAGTGATAATCCACCTTAACCCTGGTTGCGGTTGAGCATCACCTGCTGCAAGACAAAAGGGGTTTACACTTTAAAGTTTAAAGGGGGTAGCCCCTGAGGGCCTGAGGTGGCCATTAACCACTGCCCCCCGCAACATAACGCATCGCATGTGGGTGAATGGTACACACATGTGACTGTTAGTAAACAGATCATGAGTTTGAACTCTGATGGAGTCAGATGGATACGATAAAGTTAGGGGCTACCCCCTTTAAAGTGTAAACCCCTAAAAAGGGGGTAGCCCTAAAAAGGGCATTTGCCTACCAGTTCAACGTACAACTGGTAGGCAAATAAGGAGAGGAGGAGGGATCCGAGGAAGCCGTCGTAGGGTGAGGTATTAGCGCAAATGCCTGGGGAGTGACAAGATTGTAAGGATCAAGGACAAGGGGTCACATTTGGGGGGTTGGTCAATGGCAGTGTATGGACAAGCAAGCTGGCACTGCAAAGACCAAGAGATCTTAGCCACAGGATGAATGTAGTATGAATGGCATCGACGATCCCAGCACAGCTCACAGAGGATTGATAGGTAGACGCAGGAAAGAGAAGGACAGGAGAATAGAAGGCTCTGCTACGGGCCCACAGCAAGAGGGGAGCCTTCTATTCTCCTGTCCTTCTCTTTGCTGTGTCTACCTATCAATCCCTCTGTGAGCTGTACTGGGATCGTCACAGAGGCTCGATAGGTAGACGCAGGAAAGAGGAGGACAGGAGAACAGAAGGCTCTGCTACGGGGCCAGAGCAAGAGGGTGTTTTGATCATGTTCCTGTATAACTCTGCAGAATGGAGGGAGGGGGGAGGGAGGGGGCGTGGGAGGGGGCGTGGGGGGAAGGGGGGGGTGAGGGGTCTTGCCCATTGACCTTACTGTATCTGTATAAATTTATAAAAGGAACGGCTTTGGGCAGTGGCACAAACTTGAGTAGTTAATTGGTTTCTTCAACCTATGATAGTGTAGACCCATAACCATAAGGCTAAGTTTTTTAAAAAACTGAACAGGAATTTTTTTTGGGGGGGGGAGGGTGGTCTAGAGCTATAAAACTTCACCTTTGAATGCCAGATTGGCAAAAAAAGTGGCAAAAACAATGAAAAGTTAAAACTGAAAAGAGAAAATTGAGACAAGAAGCTCCTGATAAATGGGCCTGCACCCCCATCACCAGTCTGACACAAGTCTTTCTGTTTCTCTCCATCCTTACTCCATTTTTGTGCTGATTTCGTTATCCGTGGGTTGCAAGGGACTCTCTTGAACAGCAAAAGCAAAATAACGAAGGCTACAGCAAAAGCACTAAGGGCGGCGATGGAGCGAGGAGTGACTGTCATTCTTGCCACTGGAAAGGTAAGTTCATTCGCGAACACTTTTTAGGTTTTTTACACAAATGGCTGGTCGGTTTTTATAAGAAAACCAAAGGGTCATTTTAATCAAACTTGCCACCAATTCATAGAGTAGAGACCATACTAACTAACTGCAAAACAAAATCCAAAAAAATATAATAAAAATATTAAAAAACATATAAAACAGCAAGGCAAAAGTGCATTTTCATGAAATTTCGCCAACACTTCAATTTGAGAAATCTTGAGAAATTTCAGAAATCTTAACAGAGGAAATTCCAATTCTCCAAATGACACAAAATTTGGCACACAGCAACCTTGAACCAAAAATAAGAACAGGCCAAATAAAATAAATTCAAAAAACATAAAATTTGACCCCAAAACCCTAATTTCAGTTTTGGACTCGTTACCCAGGGCGTGAAATTGGGGGTCCCCGTTGACCATTTGTGTGTCCTGTTTATGCGTGCTCTCCCGCTGCCTTGTGACTCGTAAAACTCTTCTTAAACCACTGGTACTTGGCCCAGCTATCGGCCGCAGAAAAAAATAGAGTAGAAACGTTTCTAGTTGGATCGGCCGCAGAAAAAAATAGAGTAGAAACGTTTCTAGTTGGATGAATTTGGGCGCTCCTATAGTGGCCCGTACGTTTCCTAAAATCGTGGCGCGGTAACGGGCACGACTTGAGGAAGTACTGGTGGTTTAACACGTAACACACGGAGCTTAAGAAAAGCAACAAATGGACATAATCTACTCGGCTGATTAGGAGTCCAATCAAAGATTACATGCTTGTGGGCCAGGATAGGTTTGCCGCTGTGTGCGTGTGGGTGTATGCTTGGGGGGGGGGGGGGGGGGGGGGGGGG